CTTACCATTAGTGTCGTTTTCCAAAACTATTTAAGGTTAACGACCCGACAGGGAAGCAAGCAAGAGATAAATTTTATAGTGTCATGTACCGACCTAGTAAATCTGACCGTAGAGACGAAGCGTAAAAGCCTGTGACAGATACTTAAGCTGAAAATAAAATTGAAACAACAAAGGATGTTGTAACTTCGTGTAGTAGGTCCAAGAGTAATAGCGGTAGTAAAAATGTAAATAATAGCGTGGGCAAGTAAAAGCCGCGAGGATTAATTGTGTATTCGGCCTGAGTTACAGGAGCTAGCCGTTTTTCTTCCGCCATTCTTATTCTGCGGTGCTACAACATAGAAAGACGTATTGTAATGACCTTCACTACGGTTTTCATTCGACTCGACTGCCCTGTTGGTCGAGTGATCCTAAGTGCAAAACCAAACAAGATGTCTCGGGTTCGATTCCCGGACAAAGTATTATATGATTTTTGTCTTACAAAATCCTCAGTAATAACACAGAGTCTAGAATTTTGTATAGTAATAGGTTCATGCCCTATTAATGGTACTTAACTGTTAATAAGTGTTACACTAAAAGTAACCACCTCAGTCTATTTCAATCGTAAATTACATATTTTTATCAGATCAAGTCAGTATCTTCTGAGCAGTTCTAGCCCCAGTAAGTACTAGGTACACTATTATAGATTTTAAAGAAAAATTCCAGTCATGTACCTACATGCAGGTATGTACTTTTATTTTCAAGTACGTTACACGAACGTGGCAATGACGTCACGTCTGCTACGGTAAACACTTCCAAAATAACAAGTCACTAGGTATTCAACTTAATTGTAATTTCTAATTTAATTAATGAAAACAACTTCCTTAGTTTATTAATAAATTCATGTTCTAACAGATAAAGTGTTTTTTATGTATTTAAAATACTATTAAGTCCGGTTAGGTTATAAAACCTTTAAATTCCGATATGATCTTCTGGTTGCAAAAAAATATGATGACCTCATTTAGTTAAGTCATTTAGTTCCCCTATACTTATTATACTCTTTGATTTAGTTATTCTCCGAATGTCTCTTGAGTTGACATAGTGTTTAATGGTAGATTGATAGAAAATAGGCTTTAAGTCGGAGACGTACACGGCGCGTAAACGCGCGCGCAGCGCGCTAGAAACGTGTGCGCTGACGCAACACGGGCGTGTGAGTGGATATAAAAAACTAATTCATTGAAAATGATTTCACTATGGAGCTAATCTGTTCTGAACGAGAGAGAATTTCAAAACTTATAAAGCACTATACTCAACTTGAAGAACAAATCCATCATCCAGATTTGGTTGAAGCAAAAATACATTTAAGGAACTGTCACGGGTAATATTTAAGAACCAGACCTCCGACATAATGCAACCTTCAACAGTTATAAAACTTAGCAGCAAGAAACTGAAAACCAGCTCTATGATTTGTGGGTAAAGGTGCATTTTTGAAAAGAGGTCCAGGCAAGGACAACACTGAGTGCAACAGTAAAAAGTCAGTATTGAAGTAAAATGGTAGAGTTTTAGTAGAAGACACAACCATTGTTTTTGAAACAAACTCGCGAATTTATACCTTGTGCCTTTGTTTGTAAATCGTTTTTCTATTATTAGCAGTAAGCTTGATAACCAACTAGATTACGAATGACTTTATTGAGTACGATATCTAAACACATAATAAAGTGTTAGTGGGTTTTTGATTTTTCAAATTGTCAATTGTTGCAATTGTGTCGTAGCCCTGCCTACCTACATGGGAGACAGGCGTGAAGTTATTTATGTATGTCCGAACGGAGTTTGAAATTATGCTCAGTATAATAGAATTGTTCTTTTACAAATTGCTATAATTTATAAAGGAACATAACATAACATAACGCCTTTTATCCCCGAAGGGGTGGACAGAATGGCACATTATGCCACTGTACAATGTAACACCCACTTTTCACTATTTATGTTATGAGTCCCATATAATAGGGGGTAAGCCTATTGCCATATACCGGACTAAATTTCAGTCTCCGTGCTACTACTGAGAATTTTTTAAAAAAACCCAATAATACTTTGACCGATCCGGGAATCGAACCCGAGATCCCTTGCATGGCAGTCGCACTTGCGACCACTCGGCCAACGAGACAGGCAATTTATAAAGGACTCGTAGCATAAATAGCAATAAGTGCCCATTGCACACGTAATGATAAGTGTTCATTTAATATGTGCAAAGATATGTATAAAACTTGCTCCTTCGTAGAATACAAGGTGTAAGGTTATGTTAGTTACTACTATAAAGTTCAACTTAAATACAGGAAACTAATACTTTGCTTTTAAAACGTTGATTTTTACCTCGATATTCATAGCAATAACAACAGTACAGGTAATCGACAATAAGCGACCTACATTTGAACTATGTAAATCAATTGTGTTACCGCAAATACGTCGTAATAATAATAAACGTTATTTAAATCTTAATTAAATGTTTGAATTACAATGAGACCAAACTTCAATGGCTAACTTAGAAGTTCAATAGACTGCGATGCGGTAAATTTTTATAAACGAGTTCAAAGAGTTCACGTACACTTAAATAGAAATACCAGAGCATGTATAGGACACGTGATAGATTAAAGTCTTCCTATTTTTATTTATATATTAAGCAAATCCGTAATATTAACCAACGAACATTGATCGCAGCCAAAGGATCAGTGTCGAGAAAGGGGGGGGTATCTTACCGATTCTTACTCGTCGACCGGACAACCGATTGCTGGAAACATACAACTGAAAGAATTCGTAGACAGAACTGCTTTTACAATATTAATTTCTTTTTAGAAAAAGTTTCCTGTGCTGACTAAACTCATACATTATTATAATCACTGATCGACTTCAGGGGGCTTAATCTTGAATCCAATTCCGATCCATCGACATTGATATTGTGTGGATATTTATTGGACTAAATGGTATTAAGTTTAGCTTTATATCCCGTACTATGAATGCTATTTTGACAACTGCAATTTTTTTTTAAGGGGGGAAAATCATCCAATGACTGCTCCCGCCTGGGTGAGGCGGGAGGGAGTGTCAGACTCTTACTGAGTAAAAACCACCCCGTTCCTTCTCCTGCACGTCGAGCCGGAGCCCCGGTTACCCGTTAGGTTCTCCGCGATTCCGAATCGGCATCGGCCCTATTGGGCACCGTCTGTGGTGGTCTGATGGCTCTTTGAGGCGCGCGCGGAACGCAACACGCCTTACGCTCGGTAATAGCTGCGATAAGGGTTGTATAGTGTTGACATTGAATAAATATTGAGATTTTATTGCATTGAAATTTCATTGACATTGAGATTGGTTTCAAGAGCAAGCGCCCTGATCGCCTTTGGAATTATGAAGTGGGCTTTTTTATATTAACGTACAGAATGAAATAAAATGACATCTTTCACGTTTCACACTCAGATAGCAAATGAGATATTTTTTCACATATACCGCCTTTTACAATGCTCCAGAATATTTGATTTATCGGAATCGGAATGTTTGATTTTGTGGATCTTCATAAATATTGTAGTAAACAAATACATGACTTCTTATAGTGACTTCAACTACAATAAATGCATACGACGTGGGTTTGCAAGTGTAGTCACAGATTACACGTTGTAAAATATGAATAAATATTTTATTACCAGATGCTCGCCCTGGCCTTGCAAGGGTGCCGTTTCCCGACCGTCCCAGTATATGTACCATTTTTTCCTTTCAGACAAAACTTGGACAAAACCACAACAGTGACTACACAAAAGGAATGATCAAAGTTGAAGTTGTTAGAAGATTATGCGCATACAAACAGCCATTTATTAATGCAGATTAAAACTATTGTTCTAATTAAAATAGTTGTATGTTTTCAGTGGGCACGGTCCGTAATGCGAACTTAAGAAGACACGACTATTGACTAAAAAGGTTGGGGTTTTTTTTAAGGGGGGAAAATCATCGAATGCCTGCTCCCGCCTGGGTGAGGTCAGACTCTTACTTACTAAAAACCACCCCGTTCCTTCTCCTGCACGTCGAGCCGGAGCCCCGGTTATGGTTGGGGTAAGGCGTAATAGAGGTTCCGATGTACAATTTGGTTACCTTTAATTTAATTTGTTTTTCATTTTTTTCTTTACTTTGTTTCTATGCACAGAGAGCATGATATAGTATGAAGATGCAAATACTTATTAGATGAGCAAAACTTACCTACTTACCTACTTATTTAATTTCTATCACTACAATATGAGAGAGATGCTGTACAAAGGTGTCGTGATGAAATATCATTCTGAACTAGGTAAACTAGGTATTATAATTACAATTATTCTTTGATGCTTAGAGTACATTATTATTGAATTCTAATATCTTAAAGTCAATGAAACTGACACGTGTACCTATTCATAATTGTTAACTTGTTGTTCAATATGTATAGTGTTAGTAGTAGATTTACTGGTTATTCTAATAAAGCTAACATTTATGCACAATGTGTATAGTAATGATAGTAATCTCGTCTGCAATGTCTTCAAGGAAAACAACTACATAAACTGCTCTTATTTACACGGCCAATATGAGATAGGGGGATTAATTAGGATAATCTGATATTGAAATCTATATTGTTAGCAGAACCTACATTTTACTTTGATTCTTAATAAAGAACATGCGACTTTATTGGTTAAATTACAAAACTTGGAGCCAAGTTCAAAACCTTCAAGTTTGTCTGTTACTGTCCGCATAATTTCAAAAATAATTAAATCAGAACGAACTCGTTACTATTATTGTCGTATTCAAATTGTATTCTTACTAAAAATCTCGAAGGTTGCGATCATATGTTACGATAGTCAATCAATAGTCAATAATAATAATGTAATGGCCTTTTTCGCCACTACTACTTTAGACAGTTGCTTCTGAAAAAAACTAAATTAAATGTCGACGTGTCATGAAATCGATAAATTCATAAGTGTAACATTGTCAAATAAATTAGGTATCCATAAAATATAATGAATCATAAACAGCGGAGAAAAATAAAGTCTCCGCCCTATAGGAAGAGGCGGCAGTTGCCAACTTTGGATACTTTAATGCCAACAGAGTCTGTGCTTGCAAACTTGCAGCCCGTCAAAGAGGAAACAAAGGCTGACCTCGTAGCGGACAGTCCAGAGTGTGAATCAAACGATGCCTTCAAATCTGAGGTGGAAAGGTTCATAGAAATATCAAAATACTTTTCTAGTCCTCTTCGGAAAACTGCGTCGTACATCTGTGAGAATCGCCTCGTGTCCTACCCAAGTCTATTCAGATTGGAGTTCAAGAGAGGAGTTATAAATACAGAACACATCAAGTTTTGCAATATCACCCTAGAGCCGGTGTACATAAAGCTGTTCAAGGTGATCCCTGACTTGGAACAAATCAGGTTCACGAACCTGTCTTTATCTCGATGTAAAAGGATTCCACCGGGGTTGTCGTTCAACTTGACGTTTTTGTACGACGATGTTAATGAAAAGCCGGCTTGTAATGCGAAAATGATATTTGTTGCTTCTAGGAAAACGTCAACCCCATGCTATCAAGTATGCGAAATTGAGCTGGATATATGTGCACAAAAAACTCGCCTGGTTACTTTATAATCAAGGTAATACGTGTATAACGGTAATTTGGAATTCTAATTTTGGTCAAAATGTATCCGTTGTTTTAATTTGCTTTTCTGGTTTTTGGGTCTTTTCAAACATCTGTAAATAAATGGTCTTTTATTAAAATCAATATATTCTGATCTATTCATATGATTTCCTGATGACATCGTAGAAGTAATAATTTCATTTAAATATACCAATTTCAAGAATCAATTGACGATATTTTGTATTTCTATCCATTTCCAAAAAGTGCCGAAACTTTTTATTTTACATTCAGTTATGAATTACTATAATTCCAGCAATATACAAAAGCTTTGCATAAGGTAATCATAATGTAATGTCAATACATTACCATTCCCATTCACCTATACGTATGTACACTCCAAAGCCTATTTTTAATTATTACGATATAAATCTATACGTCGTCAGCATAATAAGGTCAAAAAGTAGTTCTACAAACAAATTGATTACAATTTATTTAATATGAAATACAAAAACAAAACGTGTAAAAAAACTGATCTTTTAAAAAAATAACGAAATCACTTTCAAGTGTATGTTAAAAACGGTGTTTAACTAACCCTGACCTTAAATGAGCACACAATTAATAAAAATTCTCACTTGACAATATACATCTACGGTAATTATATAAAATATTGCCAGTAATAAGAGACGAATAATAAAAAAGTAACCACATAAATGTTTTTTTAAATATTTTGAAGGCCATTCTGCTGAAACTAAAGAGTTTCTAAAATTAGTAAGTAGATACCTAATTTTCTTTCAACTTTCCATTTCTACAGAAGTTCAATAAAGGTTGCTATCTGATGCTGAATCTATGTTTAGAGGACACAGGAAACTAACCCAAGTTTTGAGTCAATTTAGACCTGTATGGCTGGCATTATAATCCCATTAGGGACCTTAGCCTACATCCCAACTGTTCTTCTGTTGTGTTTGACCCATCACATGGGTTTTATTGGAACAAAATTCAGTCCTGTTTTATTTAGTGTCTATAAAGATTATAGATGCAAAGTTATTTTCCTTAATCTAAATAAAATATTTTTCTGTATTTCATTTCCGCAAGTATTATTTTTCCATTTGTCCACTTAGACATTTGCACCTGTGTTATTTATATCTTCAAAATAATTTATCTTACTCGCACAATCAAAATATTATAAAATACGTAACACTGACGTAGTTTCCAATCAATCTAAATTGAACAGGAAAAAATCATGTCTAGGTTTATTTGCAAGTCATTGTTTTTATAGGTAATAAACTAGTATCAAACATATACATAACTGTGTACGTATAGATATTCGTATATTCCAGGTCAAGGCTCTTCAAGGTTAAGTACTTGTGACAATTATTCATTATGTCCCCATAAAGGAACCTGGCCCATAATCAGGACAACGAAATTGGGAATCAAAGAAATAAAATCGTCATACAAAACCATAAAAGTACTTAGGAAAGCAATTCTATTTGCATTGAGTGACTTTCAAATTCTTTCTCAAAGGCATATAATCAACATAATTATGTTAAAATGCAGACATGTTAACTAATAGGTACCTACAGTAACAGTATACACAAATATTTGAATATAAAGAAATAATAGAAAATACTTTTTGTATTTTTTGAGTGCGTCCATATCTGGCGAATGTGCGCGTGTGCAGTCACGGCAATAGTTTAGTGCGTCTAAATTACTCATGCAAGCTTCGTGTAAATAATAATTTTATTTAAATGCACGAACGCAGCTCGCGGTCTGCACATTCGCGGAAAATTTGCCAAACGTGGACATCGTAAATACCGACAGACGATACCTATCGCATCTACATATCAAGCAACAGAGTTGGTCCATATGTGTAATATACATAAAGACTCATTTAAAATTGTTATTAATTGAATGTAAGAATCCACATGCCTATTAATATTATCAATTATCTGCTACTGCAAACAAAGACCACGATGTTGCCCGTTATCATTACTAATGAGTTGACTGAGATAATCAACCCTTACAATTAGCCCTACATAGAATATTTAAGAGATTAAAACACAATAGCTGTCTTTCGGTAAAGTTTATTACAAAACAAACGACATAAATCTGCAGTACAAAAAAACCTAGATCAAAAATAAATGAATGGAACATTCTGCCTTATTTACTCGACGCATGTATGGAAGATATTTCTGATTGACGTCATTGAGTGACCAGAACACTGCCTCATGTACAAATTAGTGTCATTATGCATTATGTAATCTAAATTATGTAGTAATTTCATAAATTAGAGTGCTGAGCATCCATGATTACCTTATTATTAATAAATTGTTTATTTACTTTGTTATCTCACTGTTATTCGGATTTATGTCGTAATAAGTATTACTTGTTTCGAAAAAGGAACAAGTTGGAAGTACATTAATATTATATACGTCGTATAAAAAAAAAAATTCGCTGAATTTCACAAAACATATTTATTTGATTACTTGCGTTACATAGCGTTGTATGCGTAAATGCAAAATTGATTGAATTTGAGATTGGCATAAATATTATTATACAATTTGTATTAACAAGAACTAAACCTATACTATAAAAACAAAATTGTAGGTACTATAAAACGAAAATATCTCTCCCTCCTAGAAATGGCCTCCCCCAGGAAAACTTCTACACACGCTTCACGATCATACCTAGAATTGAATCCTTTATAAAAAGTTATCGCAATTTTGCGAGTTAGTTTGCAGTTATAAGTTGTAACTGCTATTCAATTGAAGGAAACGAATCTACCGAATAAAGAAATCTACTTTTCTTTGAAAACTGATCCCAGACACTGAGGGATAGGCATTACTATCCTCTAAATTTGGTGACGTTACTGTAATATCCAAGTTTTTAATTTACATATTAACCGAGCGTGATATTTAAATTAATCGTCTGAGGCTTTAATAATAGTCTGTTGATGGAGATGGATTAGTTACGTAGTGGCTACGCAGCGCCTTCGCCGTGGTTACGTTGCAGCTACGTGGCACCTTCGCAGTGGCTACGCTGCAGCTACGCGGCGCCTACGCTGTGGCTACGCTGCAGCTACGCGGCGCCTACGCAGTGGCTACGCTGCAGCTACGCGGCGCCTACGCAGTAGTTACACAATATCAGTTTTATACGCAATGCTTTCACTGCAGTAATTAGAACTTAAACAAACCTTGTTTACTAAAATATTTCAATTAGGTATGTTATTAATCACTTACCTATGTATAAATATTTAAAATGTATTTATAAATAAATTTAAGAATATCTAACTTTAACTTGTTTTTTGTTTTTGTTATAACACTCGATATCGGCAATCACTAGAATCTGATCGTGCGTAAACAGAATCGCCAGTTATAATTTATTTGTTGTTTACCTTGTAAGAGTTAGGCAGCTTTTTGTCCGAATGTTCTAGTTCAAACAGTTCTAAAACTATACTTATACAACGTAAACAGGCGTGCGTTACCCCAACAAGAAAGTATCTCCTAGAGATATATGAGTAGAACGTATAGTTGGTGCCTTATCTGCTATAAATGTGCCCCCACTTAAAAAATGTGTGCCCCCTGTCGTTTTGAAAAAAAAACGGAAAAACGATTCTTGCTGGGGTAACGTTTTTCTAGCAGGAAAATTCTAAACGAGTGATCGGAGAGAGAAAAAATGTGCATGGCCAGAGAGCTTATATGTGTGCCACTATGTGCCCCCAAAAATAAAATCTGTGCCCCTTCAGATTTTCGGATATTGCGTTTCCTGCTGGAGTAACGTTTTGATGAATCGTATATCACTAAAACCATTGCATGTGCCCCTGTAGAATAAACATACACGAGTAGCTCTTAATGTGTGCCCCTGTGTGCTCCAATAGATTTAAGGAATATTTATAGTTTTCAAGTTATCGCGGTTTTATGAAAATCCGAAAAAACATCGCAGCGCCTAAATGAGACAAGGTATAAGTTCGCTGAAAACTGTATTCGCTCCTTCTTGATGCTAATAATAACCATACAAAGTTTCAAAACGCTTCATGCATGCGTTTTTGAATAATCTTGCTACAAGTCGAAACGATGGTGTCATAACTTTGACGGCAAAATACAAGGAACTGGCTAAATCCCAGATGTGTAGGTGTAAACCAAAATCATGTGCCTTTAATCAAAAATATGTGGTGAAAATATTGAGCTTGGAATGTTTCGCATTAAGTAAATATATACAAAAAACCAAATTAAGTAAACAACGGCTGGTTATCCGACCAAATTTGAATGACTACTAAAAAGCGACGGATTCATACATATCGATGACCTTCTTTATTGGACGTATTATACCTAAGCTGTTGTCCGTGCAGTTGCGTTCAAAAGTTTTAGGGGCTAATTAAAAAATATATTAAATGCAGCTTGTGACTATATTAATGAAACAGCTTGTTGATGTGGAAATTATTATTTTTCTTCCCTTAATTTAAGAAAAAAAACTTAACTTAACTTAAATTAACTTAACTTAAACTAAACTAAACTAAACTTCCAAAAACATAAGAAAATTTGTATTTCGCGGGCTACCCTGGAGCATTCATTTTAACCCTGTACAATTTTGTCTATTCTACTGTGTAGACTATTACATGTGGCATAATATTATATTTCCCACTTCGTTGGATTTTGCCATATAAGTCATCATAACATTCAAATAAATTATTATTTTGTCTGTAGCAGTGAGCCCTGTAATGTCCAACACTATTGGGTTTCGAAGCGGGTTCATATTCTATTGCAGACTGAATTGTGTACTCCTTATTATTTACTTCAATGTTACGAGGCAGATCATCCAACTTGACGCAAACGTCATGAAGTTCATAAAATGATAATATCTTTAACATTGTATCTGAAGGATATATTTCCGGCGCAAACAAATATGACACTCTGGAGTAAATTCTGTTCTTAAACATGATTCGCAAGCTTCTTGTAGGTGGTTGATACCTTTAGAATTATATATATCTAAGTTCAACGGCAAATACTTGCAATTG